TCATCCTGAAGCTCCGTAGTCATCTCTGAACTTGCTTCAGCTCACTACACTACCTTGACCCAAAAATTTAAAGATTATATTAAACTTTTTCATTTATTTGTTTTTCTTATTAAATGCATTTCATTTGGAGCTGCTGAGGGGAGAAGGCTCATACAGTGAGGGGAAAAATTTTGATCCCTGCTGATTTTGTGCGTTTGCCCATGACAAAAAAAATGATAAGTCTAATAAATTTAATGGTGGGTTTATTTGAACAGAGAGACAGAATAACAACAAAAAATAAAGAAAAACGCATGTCAAAATGTTATAAATTGATTTGCATTTAATGGGGAATAAGTATTGACCCCCTCTCAATCAGAAAGATTTTGGGCTCCTAACCTCCCAAGCGCTTGGTGAGAAGGTGACAACAGTTGGTGCGATTATTCGGCAAATGGAAGAAACACAAAAGTACTGTCAACTCCCTGGGCCGGGGGCTCCATGAAAGATCTCACCCTCGGGGAGTTGCAATGATCATGAGAACGGTGAGGAATCAGCCCAGAACTAAAATGGAGGATCTTGTCAATGACCCTAAAGGGCCGGGGAAACCATAGTTTACCCAAGACACATTGGTAACACACTACCGGGCTGAAGGACTGATCCTGCAGCGCCCGCAAGGTCCCACTGCTAAAAAAGCACATATACAGGGCCGTCTGAAGTTTCCCAAATGAACATCTGAATATTCAGAGGAAAAATGGTGAAAGTGTTTGTGGTCAGATAGACCAAATCGAGCTCTTTGGCATCAACTCAACTCGCCATGTTTGGAGGAGGAGGGAAAGCTGCCCTTTACCCTAAGAACACCATCCCCACCCTCAAACATGGAGGTGGAAACATTATGCTTTGGGGGTGTTTTTCTGCTAAGGGGACAGGACAACTTCACACCGCATCAAGGGACAATGGACGGGGCCATGTCCGTCAAATCTTGGGGGAGAACCTCCTTCCCTCAGCCAGGCATTGAAAATTGGTCATGGATTGGTATTTCCCGCATGACAAGACCCAAAACACAAAGGCCAAGGCAACAAAGGAGTGGCTCAAGAAGAAGCACATTAAGGTCCTGGAGGGGCCAAACCATTCCCCAGACCTTAACCCCAAATAGAAAATCTGGGGGGAGGGGCTAAAGGTTTAAAGATTTTTCCAAAACTTCACCTCGAAACCTTTTACTTGGGAAGATCTCCCAAAAGGGAAGTGGGAAAAAACCCCCTTTCTGAGATGTGGCAAACCGGGTTTGGCCAACTAAAAAACCCAAAGGCCCCTGTGATTCCCAAACAATTTTTTTTGCCACCAAGTACAAAAAGCCCCATTTTTTTGCAGGGGGGTAAAATCTTTTTTCCCCCTCATTAAAATGAAAACCCAATTTATAACATTTTTGACATGCTTTTTTCTGGTTATTTTTTTATTTTTTTCCCCTCTCCTTTTTCAAATAAACCACCATTAAAAATAGACTAAACATTTTTCTTTGTCATTGGGAAAATTTTAAAAAACGCCGGGGGATAAACTATTTTTTTCCCCGGCTGGGAAAGATTTAAAATTTTCCCAAAACCCCCGAATCTTTTTTCCGGGATGAGGAAATTTTCAAATCAAAATCAAATCACATTTTTTTTTTTCCCAAAATGCACCGAATACAACAGGTGTAGCCTTTAAAACCCACAATGCAGTTTTAAAAAGAATCCCAAAAAAATACACAAAACTTTAAAAATATAAAATTTTACAAAATAAAAGTAACAAAAAATTAAAAGGCCCCACAGAAAAAATAAAAATGCGGGCATAAAACGGGGGGGTTACCGGTACCGAGCCCATTGCGGGGGACTTTTTTAGTAAGGAAATTGAGGTAATAGGTAAATTGGGTAAGTTATTAAAAGTGACTTTTGCGTAATAAAAACAAGAGTACTAAAAGCGTAAAAGGGGGGGCAATGCAAATACCCTGGGTACCCCTTTTTGATTAATTTTCAGGTTTCCCTTATGGGTAAAACCTGTTTAAAGCCTCTTGGCCCAAAGATTTGGGCCCCGGTCCCGGGTTCCCCGTCCCGGAAAAAAGCATAGAGAACAGCCCAAATGACAGGGGGGTGGAGTCCTTTGACAAAAATTTGGGGCCCCTTACTTTACAACCCGCCGGGTTTAAAAGAGGCCCCTGGTTTGGGGGCCGGAAGTTTTGGCCCCTGATGTACGGGCCCCTACTCAAAAACCCTCGTGGGTGCCTTCCCGGTGGGAAAACCCCGAGCTTTTCCAAAACCAGCAGTTTTTTCAACCCGCCCGGGATGCTCTCGATTTTTGCAGCTTTAAACCTTTTTGGGGAAATCGGGCGGCCCCAGGCCAAATTTTTCCCGGTTCTCCAAAGGAAAAAATTTTTTTTGTCATGCTTCCCGGGGGTTGTGCTTGGACCATTTTTATTTTGTTGGTGGTTGGACACCAAGGACTTGAAGCTCTCAACCCCGCTCCACTACCGCCCCGTCGTGAGAATGGGGGCGTTTCCCGGTCCCTTCTTTTTTTCCCGTAGTCCCCCAATCCCTCCCTTTGTCCCCTTTATCCGTTTTAGAGAGAGTTTTTGGGCCTGGGTTTCCCCACGGCCAGGTTCCCCCTTTGGCCTCCCCCCTTAACTTATAAACGTTGCCGGGGTTTTTCGGCCTACCCCTGCTGTTCCAAACGGGAAACTTAATAATAAATATGCCAAATTTTAAACAGACGCTTTTTCCAAAACGACTTCATTTTGGTTTTTCGCTACTTTTTACTATGGGTTGGGCCCGGGGGTCGAACCCCCTAAAAATGGCGGTTTCAAGGGGCCGTTCTCTACCAATTTTACTAAAGGGCCACAACTTAATATGGTGTTTTGGGGTCCCTTCCTGGCCATGCAGTCCCTGAAAGGGGGAAAAAAAGGAACCAAAGGGGGCGGGGCACGCACTCCGAGGGGCCCCCTTTTGAGGATCAGCAAAAGGGGGTGTGTTTTAACCCACCCTTACCCCCTGGGGGGAAACCCATCGGGAAGGGCCAGGGTCCCCGTTTGCAGAGGAGGTGTTTTAGTCCCCAGGGGCCTTAGCCCTTTGTGATAGCCTTTTTAGGGCACTATGTGTTTAACCTGAGCTTTAAATCAAATTTAAAAAGCATTCCCCACATAGGTTTTCCCCCTTTTCCCGGTTTGAAAGGGCCCTGTGGAGCGCATAGAGTTGTAACCCTCCTGTTTTTCGTTGGGGATAAGGCCCAAATTTTATTTGGGGCCCCAGGGTTTTCTGGGATAATTTGGGGGTTTTTTATGGCCCCTGACCCCGCCTTTAAAAAACACTTCAGCTAAAAGACGTGCTACGGGGCGGTAGTCATTTTTGGCAGGTTTTCCCTTTTTGTTCTTGGGACAGGGACTATGGTGGGCCTTTTTGAAACATTTTGGGGGGTTTCAACTCAAACAGGGGGAAAGGGTTTAAAAAGTCCGTGAAAACCCCTTGCCAGTTTTGGGCAGCCCCATCCGGAAATACACGGCCCCGGTTATCCCTCGGCCCCGCGGCCTTTTGAATTTTGACCTGTTTTAAAGGGCTTACTCACAAAACGGGTACGGGGAAACGGGGGTTTACAAAAGTCTCCAACAGCTGATGCACTCATGCATGTTTTTTTGTTCCCTTTCCTCAAACGAGCATAGAATAAAATTTGCTTTGGGCTTTGGAGGGGTCGTGTCCCGGGGGACCCGGCTGTGCTTTTCCCCTTTTTTATCCTTTTAGTTTTGCAAGGCCGGCCACTCTGCACGTCCCAGCTGGTGTATTTCGATTCGATCTTAGTCCTGTATTCCCCCATTGCCTGTTTTATGGTTTTTGTCGGAGGGGGGGGGGGGGTAGGGGGGGATTTCTTAAAGTTCCAGGTTGAGTCCCGCTCCTTGGAAACCGGGAGCTCTACCCCCTTTTTCC